TGAGGGGGTTTGGGGTGGGAGGTGGGTGGTTTGGGGCAGAGCTACTTCCGATGCTTCACTTGACGTGGAATGAGGATGTTTGCTTCGCTGCTTTCGCTGGGGCCTGGGATCGTCAGCAGCTAGAACTGGTCGTCAGCAGCACTCGTAGAGCTGTCTAACGAGCTTTGCGATATTGTCGAAGTCAATCACCCAACCTATTCCGGTTCCGAGGTCTTGCCATCGCGATACCACCGGACTCCGAAAGCTGCGAGAAATTGCAATTGGCACAGAATAGGTCCCAGAGCGCGCAGAAAATTGAGGCGCCTGAATGGCGGATGTTTTCTGCTCTCCCTAAGATTGTGGCGCTGCAGATACTTTCTGAGGCTACAGCCTCTTGTACCTCTATAACAGCACTGCCAAATGTCAAAGATGCTCTACCGCTGTCGTTGGATTACTGCTTCGTGATGGCTGCGACACAAACTTCCAAAGGTCTCATCGTGGAATGCGTGCGTGTGTCCTTGAGTCCTTGACGTGAGGTCGGCGCAGATGAGGAGGTGACAGGGAAGAGGACACCCATGCCTCCTTGCAGAGTCTGTTCCAGCATTGGCAGACGTCGGCGTGGCACGCGCGGACGGTGGTGGTCGTGGCTCGTGGCTGAGACGAGCTGAACGAGATCCTCTTGCCTCCGCGGCGGCTGTTTCCCTGGGCTGACGTCTCCCAACTGCGTATTTCACATGCATGCGTGTCCCACCAGAAAACGGGCCACTATGGACACTTCGCTGCCTGCCACATGTCTCCCACCCGACTGTAACACGCGCTCCATGTGCGCTCCGACATGAACAGCGACAATGTCCGCAAGTCATCCGAGGCAGCCCTGGATGCACCCAATGCATGCGCCTTGACTGCAGACGAGGCTGAGGGCCTCAGGACCGGCACCCGCACTCCCAGACCCTATCACCACGACCAGCTTGAGGAATGGCAAGGTCGCAAGTATGCGCGCTACCAATCAGGAGCCGGCGACGCGACCGAGCAGGAAGAGGACCACAGCACAGAGAGCGCAGAATGGCAGCAACAGAGCGAACCAGCGTCGATCATGAGCAGCGAGAGCGGCACAGAAGCCGACGATGAGCGGCCATCATTTGTTAGAGCATTACCCCCGAGCACTTTACGACCCAGGAAAGGACTCAAGACCGGAGAGCAGGACGAAGATGCACTTCTTACACCCAACCAGCTTGACGAGCGTGAACGGGAGCTCTCAGGCTATTTTCAGAAACAACAGCTTGATGGAATCACGGCAGAAAAAGAGCGCGAAGAGCATGAGAAATTGCAAAAGAGGCGATATGCAGAATTTGCGAGACGCACTTCAGAGGTGGCACTCATGGCTGTCATCCTAGTGTGTGTGCTTTGCGGACAAGGCGTTGCGACAATTGCATGGAAATGGCGATATGAACTGCTAAGCCAAGTGGTTACCATCATCGCTCTGATTCTGGTGTATCCGGTCAAATTGTCTATCATCGACACAGCAGCTGCGCCGACCAGTATCTGGCAGAGATTCCGAGTTCCGGCCTCATTCGACCCAGCGACTGTACTCTATCCGCCACTACTACCTATCATGGTCGCTCTGTCTGTGGCACCAGCCAACCCAGCAGTTGTGCTGCCTAATATCATCCTCGGACTGGCTTCGTTACCACAGCGGCTGTTTCCACGATCCAGTCGGCTGGGGCGTTTCAATTCCATGCACTGGCTATTGGCTATCATACCTCTGGTGGTGTCAGAAAACATCACGTTGTTCTCGAGGCAGAACCCGGCTCTGCCTTATGCACTGAAGACGCCTGGTGGTCTGTCTCGTGAGGCACTCGTCACCCTGTATCCGCTTCATCATGCGCTTCTGCAGCCACTACAATATCTGACTACGACAAGTCTATTGGTCTCCGAGGTCCACCTACTGTCTACCGTTTTAATCAATCTGCTATTACTCGCCTCATCAGTACAGATCGTTATACTGAAAGCTTGCCTCTGGCTTGGAGGCGTTATGCTTTTCGTGTCGTGTGGAGGGGTGTTGCACTGGAATCTTACATTGGCACGAATCCCGCGCTGGAAACTGCGAAGAGATGGCCACACAGCTCAGGAGCGCAAATCGCTTGTCGATGCTGTCACAGACCTCATCAATGTGCAGCGCGCTACGAATGCCTTCCATGGCCCCGGCATCGTAGAGAGCGACGCTGACGACGACGAGCCGACCAGGTCTATTAAGCGTAGGCTATTGGACGCCAAGTCCAAGCTGAATGGCTCCCACTCGGTCCTGCACTCATTCAGCGCAGGCATTCTTGGATCGGACTCGGCAACAGAAGCCCATCAGCACAACTCTTTATTGAACAGCGATGCGGAATCCCGGCGCTATGCCAGGCGCAACACCCTTCCCCCACGTCAGCCACCTGAATCTCTGTCGCGAACAGTCAGCACGAAGCGTGGCAAGAGCAGAGCGAGACACATTGCGTGGTATCTGCAGCTCACACCTGAACAAGCAAACCGCCGAAAATGGCTTTATGCAGCTTTTGTTTACGCGACTATCCTGGTTATTGTCTTCATACCAGTCAGCTCGTACATTAGTAGAAAAGCCCTGTACAGGAACGAGCCGGTAGGCTGGGCGATCAGCTACCTCTTTGGTCAAATTCCCCTTGTTCAAAACACGATCTTGGACCTCGGACTAGACACCTGGTGGATCCCACTGCCTCCAGCCAACAGCACCGACTGGTCTTCTATCCCTCTCAGCATTCCTCTTCACATCGACCTCATTCGACTGGACCTAGGTCAAGCCAATGTCCGCCTCCTCATCATCGTCTACTGGCTTGCCGTCCTCGCGGCTGGCCTGCTGACAGTGTTCACCTTGACTGCGTTCGTCGAGGTCGATACACGACGGAAAGTCTTTCATGGAGTGATGGTAGCTATGCTGGTACCTGCCACATACGTCGACCCTTGCTTCTGCAGTCTCACGCTTGCACTGGTTTTGGCGGTCTTCCTGTTACTCGAAGTCATCCGCGCAGGCCAAGTACCTCCTCTCGGCAACGCAATTTCCCGCTTTGTGGCTCCTTACGTCGATGGCAGAGATCTCCGAGGACCTGTCGTTGTCTCGCACATCTTCCTGTTGATCGGCTGCGCTGTACCTCTGTGGTTCAGTCTTGCAAGTCTCGCTCGCGATGGGCAAGCGCCATGGGAAGGATGGGAGCTCAAAGACAACCGACGAGAGACTGCCATGATTGCAGGCGTTGTCTGTGTCGGTATGGGAGATGCTGCAGCATCTCTTATCGGCCGAAGATATGGCCGACGAAAGTGGATATGGGTCGGTGGCAAGAGTTTGGAAGGCTCAGCCGCTATGGCATTCGCAGTCGCTGTTGGTCTCCTCATAGCTCGCGCATGGCAAGTCTTCGGAGGATGGAACGGTAATTCCTATCCCGACAGAGTCGCTTTAAGCTGGACATCTCCTTTTACATGGACTTGGTTCTGGGAGTGGACATTTGCCATCTTCAAAGCCATCTTCTGCGGCTGTGCGGCGAGTTTCATGGAGGCTGTCCTGACCGGTGCCAACGACAATGTTGTGGTGCCTGTTGCATTGTGGCTACTGGTCAAAGGCGTTCGGCTTTAGTACATTGTAGCACTCCGTGCTCGAAGGCATGGCCGTTGCGGTCGACGGTACGAACGGGCTTTGGCGGTTTCGTTTAACATGAGCGTTTTTGCAATCGGTGATGAGGGCCTTTGACTGGCTGTGGGGCTGTTGCTACCACTTTCGAAGACACACAGCTCTGGACTGGGTCTTGGTCGAAGACGTGGTGGCGGCACGGGATAGATAGCGAGGAGTCGGGAGTTTGCGAATGCCATACTTGTTTGATGCTGTTCTTCTTCGAAACCAATATTTTTCTCGTGTATCACACAATGTGTCAAGGTCCTGTGTCCTGGACTCTTCTTCTCTTGATTCCAGATCGTTGGTTGTCGCCGAGTGCAAAGGTCTCGACAGTCTGGACCAGAGATATGTAACCAAATGTGTTTGTGATTGAACAACCGAGAAACAGCAGAACAAAATTGCAGGAACTGAGAGCCTGGTATATATATTTGTACCGGAAAGGAGAAGAAAGTTGTGTAGTATGTCACTCGATTGAGCAAATAGGAGCAAAGACCGTTTCAACGTCCGAGTTAACGGCAAAAGCGTTTACCGGTGCATCGAAAGGGCGCAGCAACAATGGCAATAGCGATCGCGTTCTATTGTTTTGAAATTTTATGCTATGAGTGCAAACCGTGGCATGGGCAGCTTGTGAAGCTTAGACTTTATTGCTTGGCTGGGGAAGAAAAAAGAGGGAGGGAAGAGTGTGAGGTCAATCGAATCGAGAGATTCACTATAGTCTTTCCCGTTATAATGTGGTTGATGGTTGATGGTCTCGGCGCGGCTGGGCGTTGTTGATTGGGCCTGTCGGCGGAACAACCTACTTTGCCTACGTGATCGAGATCTTTTTGGTTGTTTGGGGGAGGCTTGTTTGAGACACGGGTTGAGTTTATTTTTGAGGAAGAGAATGCGGGAGCAAGATTTTTGATTTTATTATGTGGAGGGGAATCTGTGCCTATCATATAAAGATCGAAGATGGCGGAGTTCATAGGGCAGGGAGGGTTGAAGAAGGGTTTACAGTGGAAATTTTCCTAGGAGGAGAACTGCTGGATGATGAGAAGGTATTTCTGATCGTCGCAGAAGAACCGAATCGGGAATTCGCTGTTGAGTTTCCGGACGTTGCATGGTCGCATGAGTCGTGAATGATCATCATCCGATCGCGTGGGCATTTTTCTTTCCAAGACTCAAAATCTTGCGAACGTGTTTCTTGGTTGTGCGAAGCTTTAGGCTTGAAATCGTTGCCAAAACTCAGTTGGCGGGTCGACTTCCTGCTATTGATCCACTAGAGGTCAATGTGGACAGCTTCTCAAGGCAGTGATGGCCGAAGATGGCTGTGAAAACATGCAAGTGGTTGGATTTACCTCTTGGTTCAATTCGATAGCGTTGATCACTTCTGTTGCTCCAAGAGCCCCGAGTATACAGACTCTTGTTTTGAACAGCTGTTTGCATCAAACCCAAATCCCGTCAGACAGGTTCGCGGAGCGAAAGTCTATCGAATGATCGGAAGGAGTGTGGAATGCCGACGGGAGCAAGGCATGTCGGGGAGCACGAGACATTATCAAAGAAAGGGATGAAGTCTATTCAGTGCATCGAGGTTGAATTGACGATGATCGATGGTTCTACGACATGTGTTGTATTCAATTCTCAATTGTCTGTCCTCGTCGTGTAGAGAGGCAGTCGTGGTCCTCTCTATTCATCCTACCGTTGGGCGTCTGCCCTGGAAATCTAGCTCCTTTTTCGTTTTCCTCCCTCGTACAATGCGTGGTGCCACAGATCATCTGATGTGTAGCTCTATTCTGCGACGCTTTCGCCATGTAATCGTTCGCTGCATTAATTCCTTCCGAATGACCAATTGAACGCCAATATCAAAACCCGTCGCTATGCTGCAGATTCAAACAGTCTCAGATATGAAGCGTCGAGTCTACGCTTAAAGAGCCTGTGATATATGATTAGGAACTATAGTTTGATGAGGGATAGTGAAGTGACATTAACTTACGAGTGCAACACCGCCAACGAAGACGAGACCCATGGCAGCGGAGCTACCGAATGACCTGCTCGCGCCACCAGTGGATGCAACGAAGCCAGCAGATCCGGTTGGAGAAGAAGCAGAGCCAGTACCGGTTGGCAACGCTCCGCCGCTTGGCGAGGTGCCGTTGGTGATCGGATAGATTGGAGAAGGTGATGTGGTGTTGTCTCCGCCGTATGGGCTGGGGCTGTAGCTTCCAGAGCCAGAACCAGTGCTTGGAGATGTGGCAGAAGAGTCGCTGTCACTGCCACTGCCGTAGGATACTGGCGAGTTCTCGGTGTTTTCTTGGGTGGTTTGTGGCAGAGCAGCAGCGACAGTGACAGCAAGAGCCGAGGCGAGGATGGTAGTGAACTGCATTGTGGCTGTAAAGTTTCGTTTGTGATTGGTCGGTTGAAGTGATCGAAGTCGTTGTTATCGAAAAGAGTGAGTTTGGAAGATTGGTAGTGTCTCGGGTGTTGTTGTCGTGATGGAGAGAGTTTGCGTGCTGAGAAGAAAGGTCGCTTCCAGAAGATGCTTCTTTTATCGTCGCTGGATGATTGCAACCCGTTGTCGTGACAGGAGCATGCGCGCATGCGCACACAGCCTCCCTTGTCCGTTTGTCGACGAGACGCGCAAGCTGTTTCAGCAGCACACCCTGGCATCCAGGTACCACTCGCCATCGATTCCCATCAAATCAGCCATCAATTGGTGCAGAAAATCGCGCGAGGCTGGACCCGCCCGGCGCCATGCAGCTGATCCAGCATACGTCCGTTCCATTTTTTGATGGCTGGTCGGACAACGCAGACGGAGTGGCTGGATCTGACTGTGCGATGCGGAATGCAGAATTCCTATTTTCGGCAATTGACGTAGCCAAGGCTAGGAACAGGCGCCTTTGTGATCCAGCTCAACAAGGATCTCGCCACAATTTTCCGTCTCACTTTGCTGATTGTGAGACCCTTTTGGGAGGCTGGAGGTATCGATCGTGGCTGGGTGCTCGTTCACAGCTGTCCTGCCATCTGAGGGTCGCACGAAGCCGTTGCTGCTACAATCATTAATGACGCACCAAGGGCACTTTTCACGCAGGAGATGATACTCCAAATCATGCTGGTATCCGGTCTACATTTCATCATGCTGCCAAGTTCGGTGAGCGTGCTCGTCCGGCGGAAAATAATCGGAGGCCGGATCTGTGTTGACGCAAGCCTTGACGTGTTGCTTTGCTTACTACTGCTTCTGGCTGCCATCGTTACACCTTTATTATCGCCGAACACAGTAGGCCATTGAGAGACTGTGAATAGAATTACCAGTGGTTGCGGTAGTGATCGCAAAGCGCTCTGCGTGCAAAGTGCAGGACGCAGATCTGTCGCATCACTGTACATGTGATGCTTGTGCTGTTTGAAGGCGATCGTCGACACGCGGGAGTTGCAAATTTGCAACATCTCACCTGGCTCGATCTGCGCGTTCATAGTCGCAGTATCATTACTTGGAAGCTCCAGTCTCGCAATGCCCCGGACAAGCAGTCGATGAAGTTCTTCTCAGCTGGTCATTACGGCAGCCCTGCATCTTCGTTAAAATAAGGCTCTGCTACGGGCGGATATGCATCATCGCCACGTGCTCGGGCAGGTTGTTCTCATGTTGCAGTCAAATCATTGCAGCTGAAGGGTCGCAGAAGAGAAATTCTGGGCAGGACGCGACGAATCTATCGTTTCGCGAGATGGTTGGCGTTGTTCTGTCTTGCCGAGCTCACAGTATTGTCGTGTGACCAGAATGCCGATAAGTTCCTTGTTCGCACTTCGTGTATGACGTGGTCAATGACCAAGTCGTGCAGTGGAAAGAAACACGTTTTTGACGCGTCGCAAGGCAGTAACGCTTCGACGCGATGGCACGTGCAGTTGCAATTTCCGCGTCCAGAGTTCGTCCGAGGGGCAGAAGTCGTATGTATCAATGAAGCTGAAAGGCGTCTAGTATTGCTGAGCTCTACATCTTTATTTTCCCTGTCTTCAGCGCACCCCAGTCCTCTCTACCGTACGTCTGATACGATTCGGCTCCGGGCGGCAGCCAAAACACCTTGTCCTTGCTGCCAGATTTCTCGATGAGATCCAGATCCACGCCCTCTCTTTTCGCCTGGCCTTTCTGGATCTTAAAAGTGCCAGTGTACGACAGCTGAGGCGCCACGCGCAGGAAGTACGGCACGGCATATCTGGGGAGCTTGGTAAGCACGAAATTACCCAAACCAGCGCAGTCCAGATTTTCTGGCATGAGCCCTTGCTTCAATACCACCGTTGCACATCCGCATCGGCCATCGGCGTTGGGGACGGCAACGCCTGGGGATGTAATGTTAGCACGTGGCCTGGCATCGAGGGAAGATCAACTTACCGTAAACGTTCGCCTCAGCAATCTGCTCAAACTGACCCAGCACGTCCGCAACCTCGTTTGTCGAGACGTTCTCCGACTTCCACCTGAAAGTGTCGCCGAGCCGGTCGACGAAATATACTCTCCCCTCTGCGTCCTGCCGCATCATATCTCCGCTTCGGAACCACAGGTCTCCCTTCTTGAAAACATCCCGTGCCCATCGCTTGTCGGAAGCAGATTGATTCTTGTAATAACCCTTGAACACGGTCTCGGCAAGCTCGGGTTCCACTGCATGGAAGACCTCACCCGGCTCGTTGACATCGCATCTTACCACCCACCCATCTTTATCTCTCACAACTTCTTCAGAATCGGGATCGATCTTTACACGAACTTCCTTCTCTCCCATCGCCCGATTCCAGAGAAGCCCTCTAACTCCAATAGCATTCCTGCCGAAATCGCCGTAGTTTCGATTGAATGTGGCTCCCAAGCCATCAGTCGCAGCGTAGAGTTCATGAATGAGGGGAATCTTGAATCGTTGTCGGAAACGCTCCCAAACATCTGGCCTCATACCATTGCCCCAGGCTTCATGAACACTATGAGCGGCTTCGAGAGGATGAGGTGGGGCGTTGAGGAGGTATCGACAAAGCTCGCCCACGTACTGCAATCGGTTCGCCTTAGATTCGTGGACTTCGGTCCTGGGAGATCGTTAATACCAAGTCAAGCCGCAGACATTATTTTTGAACATACCAAAATGTGCGATGTGAGAATTTCTTGCCCTGTTCACTACGTTAGCACTTTTCTCACGCATCAATCGGTTACAAGGTTTACCAGTTTCATAGCTGATCCCGCATGTATCGTGGGTGTTGTGCAGAGCCCCTGAGCCGCACCGTGGTACAATGGAAGGCATGTATAGAACTTGTCGCCTCGTTTTAGCTGCAAGTAGTCCGCCATTGTCCGGCCTATGTTGATACTCCTGCCACTGGTCATCATCACACCCTTCGGCAAGCCGGTTGTACCACTTGTATAAATCAGTCCACGTGTATCAGTAGGCATGATCCCTTCCGTGCGGCTAGCAGGAATGGGCGTTCCGTTGCTCAGTGCATTGATCACGGCCTCGTCGTAGTACACGATCGTAATACCAGCTTCTTCCAGCTCAGCTCTACATGGCTCGAGACGCTCGGATGTCTCGCGATCCGCAAGCATATAGCGAGTTCCACAAAGCTACAAGTAATGTTAACCTCATCGGCCACATCCGGATATGACCGGCAGAGCATACCTTGGCACAATGCGAGAGAGCCTTTCCAGTGAGGTTGTGATTGATGAAGCTTTGCTGACCACCAATACCATCAATGGCAAACCATATCATCAGGTACTCGGCGCTATTCGGTCCACTCAAAGCAATCATCTCACCCCGCTGAATCCCAAGATCGCTCATCAGCCAGTTCCCTACCCTCGAGACCGCTTGATAGAACTGCTTGTATGTCCAAGAACGACTTTCGTACTCCAGAAATAGGTGATCTGGAATGTCTTGCTTGGCCCAATTCTTGATGGCATGATACATTGTCATTTCGTTCTTCGCGGCCTTCTCGGCCATAAAGTTCTGGGCATCGGTGGCAGCTTGGTCGAGGCTGCCTTTACTGAGGTCTGCTCGAATATGATACTTGGCATCGAGGTATGCAGCCGCCGCAGCAGCCGTTCCGGCAACAGCTGCTAGAGTGGCTTCATTCGATCAGAACTTCGATCATTACTTCGACTCGTACTTCTGTCTTACCGGCCATGCTGCAAGCGGGCTTTTTGCTTGTGGCGAGAGAATGAGCGTTCCTTCGGACCCACGATATCCGGTGATGTGATGAATTGCTGACAGCGACAAAGATGAGCTTTGGTGGCAAGCCCTAATGATTATTATATACAAACCTCGGGTGTGATCCAAGATCAACATCCCCAGCTTTTGCGGGGATGTGTAAAGTCTTAGCGCGACTACGACTCGACTTCCGCCGCTCACAGTTGGTGGCGCATTGCTATGTCACGGGGTTTTGAACACAAAAGCCTGCCGGTTTGCCCGTGTTTGCCGGAAGCAGAGCTCTCACACTCTGATCTTGGGGAAGCTTTTGATGGACGCTGGGGCGCCACTCTTCCATTGTGTCAAAACTTGATGCTGTTCAGTCGAATTTCCGGTCCAGGTCGATGCCAATTGACGTGCAAGAAAACCCCGCAACGTGTGCTGATCCATCGATATATACCGAGCCCTTCAATGCTAGCTCATCCTAGTCGAAACTCGATTCATTCCGAGTATACCAACGCCGTGAGAGTCGGAACGTCGGTGTCGTGTTCCCGAGCATGCTCTCTGATAAGCTTCGATAACGACTGCTGTGCATTGATGAGCTCTGTGCATGCTCACCTGTTCCGAATGCATTGCACGCATTTCGGCGCCTTGGAGTGAGCACAGAGTGCAGTACGCTAGCACACATGCGCTTACCATATCCTGCGGATCAATTCGGGCACTCTACAGCCAGATGGAAACTGGAGGTTAGAACTTTTTGATTAGAGTCTTCAGCGTACAGTACGCTCCAAACTTGGTGCGGCGAGCTCGCTCAAGAGATCAGTACTTTCATTCTTGCCCGAAGCTTGTCATTGCGTACGAGCAGGCCCATCCACTGCACGTTTGGAGGTATCCCATCATTTCTCCAAGAACAGTTTCGAGGTCCAAATGTCTGATCTTTGTTGTGTGACCGCATCGCCTCGACAAGGCTCAGGATCGTGGCCTACACACTACGTTGTTGGTTTCATAAGGAGCGGATCCACGTTCTCAGTATCGAGAAACTGGTATTTGATGAGCCTTCCAAGCGAAGTCATGGTCGCGGATCACGTCGTCGATCCGACTCGTTGTCTGTGCGGAAGCTCTTCAATGCTGGGCTTTGCGTTGATGACTTGTGTCCAAACTCTTCAATGTAGCCGAGATGCCTTGGTGTTCATTGCGTTGTTGTTGACGGACAAAGAATGTGACTGCAAAAATCGTACTATACGGAAAGCAAGGACCAATTTCACGACTTTTGGCCTAGCCTCAAATTCTGACGCCTGCCCTTTCGTGCACCAGTCAGCATACTTCTCGCATTGACAAAAGCTATATCTGATGCAGACTGTAGCTTTGCGGAGTGATACGCTGCAGGTAGGTCATTTTTCGGCTTGCTTTCTCCTTCCAGTACTCCGCAGAAGTACCTACCTACTTTGTTCTTTCTATTCGACACAACCCAGCTTCGGAAGGTGCAGTCTGACATGGAGATAAAAGGTTTGATGCTCTTTGAGTGTTCATCGTCCAAGTCTCTCAGCTCTTGTGCCTGTCTGTGCAACTCTGCTCACCACTCAAGCCTCATGAGCGCCGAGCATACTTCTCTCTCCGCAGGTCTCATCAGTATATGTTGTTTGAGCCAGGTGCAATGAGTCAATACAACACTCATAGCTTGTACAGAAGTCGATAACACGAGCGGTTTATCTATATCTGGTTTTTCGCGAGGGCGGTAGAACAACGTCTCTCATACACTCTCCTCAGAGACCCAAGTCATTCAAATTAAACCCCGATCGACTCACGAACCGACTGAGGACTTCGCCCTGAATTTGGCCTGAGAAGCATCAACAAGCTGCAAGTAACGAATCAATCCATCTTGCCATAGCACTTACCGACGGGGGTGGTATTGGTTCCCAGCAATGCTTTTTAAAGATATCATCGCAGCGTTTTGCAAAGCACAGAGCCTGTTCTATTGTCGCCTCGCAATAGAGGTCCTTCGTGGTGTCGTATATACCGCCACACCACGAACAGCTTGATTGGGTAAACCCTTTCAAGCTTCTATGTGCGTCACAGTCGCTGTAGTCGTCGTGTGCGGAGCAGAAAATCCCGCGGGCTGATCCAGTGGCAGCAAATACCATGCAGGTGATGAGCGCAAGGAACGAAAGCTGCATCTTTAAGTCCTTCGCTCGGTAGGACTTCTCGAAATTGTCTCGATGCGAATCAACGTGCAGTGATGGTTAGAATATGCATTGCAAATCAGCGAAGTGCAGCATTTATGTAGTCAGGTACTCTGATGCCCTTCGCGTTTCGTAGAACTCGTATTCTGTTTTGCAGTCCTTTCTAGCGGCTTGTCTGCTTGGTCCCACCCTGTACTCGTCGTACTCGAAACGTGAATCTATGTATGTGCATTAGGGCATTGCCAAGGTTCTGACTTCTGACTGCGATGTAATGTGAACACGATGAGCCGTGCCGTGCCGCAGATCTTACATTATCCATATGATCCATAAAGCTTGATTCACAATTGTGCATCAACACGAGAGCTTGTCAGATCGATACGATACTCTAGAAATCATGGTCGAGACACCGAGAACGAGACGCTCCCGTACCAACGCTGGAACACTCCACTGCACGCGCGGACAAGGTGTTTAGGTGATCTTTGCCGGCAAAGACATTGCGTAGCTTGTAAAGAATCGCGGACTCTTGCAACCGGAAAAGTCATTGGGCACGGTAGAGAGAAGACTGTGCGGGCTTGTGCGGGTGGAGTGTTGTCCTTATCGAGCAGTGCGTGCCACTCGTAGTCTACTGCCTTTGATCTGGAGAGCTGAGAAAGGCAGACGGAGTATCGGGAGTGAAGTACATCTGATCAAGAATGAAGGAAATGTTGGCCGATGTATCGAAACTTAGGCCGTTTATCGTTCAAAGAAATATAGAGCACCTCAATGTCGACGTTGGGGAATGGATTGATGTGGGTGCGGCGCAATCTGCTCCTGCAGGGTCCTCGGATTTACCTTCTTCCGCTCCGAATGCTTACGTCAACCCGTTAAATAAGGTCGGGTGCCTTCCTGTGTCCTTCGCAGGTGCAGTCTGAAAGGGAGACAATTGGAGCTTAGAGACCATGCCTTGGAGGCATCTCTCGCACCACAATTTGCACCACGATGACTTTATCTACCCTTAGTTGCTGGCCTATCTGCTGTATCCCAAAGCACTCTCAAAATGGATGGGCCGTGGTCATCACCGTCTCCAACACCGTCTTGGAACAGAAGCGGCGAAGCATTTCGCTCGTAGACTGGCTACCACTTCCCGACCCTCACCGCACACAATTGACTCTGATCCTCGATCAAAGCATTCGTCCTTTGAGGTCTTCTCACAATGGTCTGTCCCAGTCCTTCCAGCGGCTTTGTTGAGCAGTAGACTAAGGGTATCAAAGGGAGCCACAATGACCAAAAGTAGCAGCGGCTATTGTCTCTGCATTCATACATCGCAGATATAAGCCACAAACTCGCCATTTGATTCCAGTTTCCTTCCCAGAACCAGAAAAAGAGAAAGTCAGAGCACAAAATGCCAGCTGAAACGGAATTCTACACACCCCTTGGCCTGGTGCCACAAACCACAACGGCAGACTGCATGATCTGTCAAGACCCAGCAGTTGACCCCGTGACGACCACTGGATGCGAGTGTCGGGTAACGTACTGTCGAGATTGTTTCATGACCTGGCTCGAAACGGGGGCAAATAAATGCCCCACTTGCCCGGCACATTGGAATAATCTGGAACTATTTCTCGATGCTGTTGACCGCGATGACATCTACGATTCTGACTCCTCCGACGATGACTTACCCATCGTTCACCTACGCAACAACAATGCTGGTCTTCCCTACGATGATGACTCTGACTTCTCCGACGATACCTTCCTCCTCGCTAGCCCTCTCAACGACAACTTCGGCAACGCCGGCATTGACCACGAATTTGGCTCCTTGAACAGGAACCGTGGCAACCTTGGCTTTATCCGCGATGACTCTGACAACCAAAGTGTAGACTCTGCGTGGAGTGTCGACGATGATGAGAACGTACCAACCCAACCTCCCTTCTTCGGCGTCAACGTCACAATTGAGGATCACCGCGAGGGACATGAACCAATCTATCTCCTTCGCCACAGGTCAGCAGATCTGGTGAAAGTTAGCCCTCGCTCGACCGCCTTCTTCAAGTTAGGACACCTAGACGTTGAAGATGAAATTGGCAGATTCCGCCGAACCTCCCTCGACCGCGACATGCCTATTGAGACGGATGCGCCAAGACGGGCATACGTCAAAGCATGGCTGCTAATCGACCACCTTCTAGTCAGCGCCAACAAGTTCTACCGAGAGCGACTCCCAGCCGCCCTGCAAAACTCGCAAGCGACTGAGAAGGACTTCATCGCAATGGTGTGCATGCTCGGCATTACGATCACTAAGGAGCTCGATCGCACGACTGCGACTTACGAGAGACTTCGTGACAATCTGCTCAAGGGCTGCTTCGAGCGTATGGCCGAGGTTTCCGACGCGTTCTTGGATATACAAGCCGCACACCAGGAGAATCGCGAGATGGTGTTTGACCCGATTCAGCGCTACCTGCAAGACCTCGCCGAGGATTTGGCGCATCAGGGAGAGCGCGTGTACGAGCGAGTCTTCCACGGCGACATAAACTGGTAAGTTGACAGCTACCGCTTGCGCGAAGATTATTAGTGACATTGTGAAATTGCTGGTTCAATAAAGCTCGAACACTTTCAAACTCACCGACATGGAATTCGCAATAAGTTTGTCCCTTGTATCCCATAGTTTGCCGGACTTTTGTGTCTGCTTCGGAAGATTTCCCAATCGACTGCTTGTTGAAGCTGCCTACATACCAATTATGAACATGATCTATCGAAAGACCTTTCAATTTCTGTCACTCCCCTTAAGTCTCCTCCCAATATTACCAAAGCACACTGCGCTCACAAATAAGACACTCGCGATCCACGTCGCAACGCCTACGCTTTCTTGACTGAAAATTCCCAAAATATAGTCCTCGTCTCGCAAAACATGCAGACTGCCATTCACGATACCGCTTCCAGTATGTCTCCCAATCTGCTCCTGAATCACCTGCGCCGGATTTGGAGGTGGAATCAAAGCAGGATTCGCAACAAGTAATAATGCTGTTCCCATGATAGACACGAAAGCGCTAAGGATGAAGCCCAGTGGAGAGCCATCAATGAAGTACCAGACGGCAGGATTTGCGAGTGCGAGCGTCAAGCTCAGTTGTAGTGTGCTCTGCCATGGCAATTTGCGAATCGCGAATGCTATCCCGACAAATGCGCCGATGCTTCGAACAATGTCCATCCAGTCCTGGCGAGGCCGATGTCGTTGCCGGCTGTTCACGTCTTCATCCTCGAGCGCATCCTCGTCTGAATCCCAGAGCGAATCAACATATGGCAGAGCCTCGCCCAGCACAACAGCAATGCATCCCCATGTCGCCAGGTACGACCACTTTTCCCGGTCCAAGTTCACCTTCACAGGTGCGAGCTGTTGTTTGTCGTGGAGATGACTGATCAAGAGGCCGTATAGAGTTCCAACGCCGAACAAAGCTGTTGCTCTACCCAATGTCCGCAGATAACTCGCCACGCCCGTAGCAGGACGAATGTGCCGTTTTTGTAGCTCAGGGTTAAAGCTCTTCCGTCTGATCGTATTGCCGTTCGTCGTCCTTCGCTCGAAAGCATCCGATGGCAGTGCTTGACGCGCCCAGTCGATCGAGGCAGCTCGGCTTTCAGCTGGAGTTTGTGCTCCGGTTCCCCAAGGGGTCGGCTGCTGTGATGCCGTATCGAACCCAGTGTCTTGGTAAATGCCAAAAAGCGTGCTCGTGGTCAAGTTCAGAAACGAGCGATTCCGTGACGGCGCCTCGCTCTTCGCGTCCTTCTGTGTCCCATTTGCGTCGCTCATACTGAGATTGGTAGGCGAATTTGCTTCGGTCGGTGTTGTCGGCTCGGAGTCAGGTGTGGGGAGCTCGAAGGCACGGCGGTTGCGAGGTTGCGGCTTCAGCGGGAAAGCATCGTCGGTGTCGACGTGTGGTGCGGGATGCGACATGCTCAGAACGTGAGAGTCACGGGAGCGAGGTAACAAGTGAGCACGCGCGCAGCGGGATTGGCGTCGGAACAAAGTTTGACTTTCCGGCGGGATGGTCTGAGCTCGAGTCGGGAATGGAAGAATAGTGACAAAGGAAGGAAGAATGATATATATGTAGGTCGCGGAGTGGTGAGATGTGGTTGAAGAGGGGGCGTCTGCACGCACGACCACGGGCAGCTTGGGGGCAGTGGAGCTGGAAGCGACGTCAGCTGGCAGCAGAGCACAATACAGAATGCGCATGTGAAAGAAAGGGTTTGCCAAGACTGTCGGACTTCTGTCAGCCGCTAGTCTCCGCCCTTCGCTTCTTCCCGCTCGAAATATTTCCACCGGCTGCGAGGCGACTTGCCAGAGCAGAAGGACATCGACTCGCGCACTGCATCGATCATGGCTGCAAGCACAGAGGCGCAGAAGCAGGTCAAGATCAGACTGTCTGCCAAAGATGACTCCATCGCCCTCCCACAAGAGGTTGGTGACCTGGTTATCAGCACTGGTTAGTACAATCGCGATCTAGTGAGATGTATCATGCTAAGTCCAATTCCAGAGGTCAAGCGATACCAGCTCTCAACACTCGTGAACAAGCTTCTGGAAACAACACAGCCAACACCGTTCGAATTCCTCATAAACGGCCAATATCTGAGGACGACTCTGGACCAATTTTTGACCGAGAATGGCATAAGTGCTGAAACTACACTACACGTCGAATATGTGAAGGCGTTGAGCCCGCCGCAGTACATTGCCAGCTACGAACACGACGACTGGGTCTCCTCTGTTGATGTACTATCCTCGAGCTCAAATGCAGCAAACTGGGCCAGCGTCACTGGAAATTTGCAGCCTAGCATAGTCTCTGCCTCATTTGATGGAGCTCTCCGAGTCTGGGATGAATCGCAGGATGTGCTCGCAACCGGTACAGGATGGCATCGCGGATCGATCCATGTAGCAAAATGGCTCTCTCCATCTCAAATTGTCACAGCAGGCACTGATCGCTCCGTCCGGCTATGGGACTATGCTGCGGGCGCTGGCGCAGGGAGTGCGAAGCTTTCGCCGAAATTGGAGCTGCTGGGTCACAAAGGCGCGATAGACTCATTGGCAGTTCATGCTCCTTCCTCGCGTATTCTCACTGCTTCCGCTGATAACAGAATCGGCTTCTGGAGCTCCAAGAAGTCAGAAGGCACAAGCTACGAACCACCTGCGGCCCCTTCCTCCAAGCGACGAAAACTTTCCGGACCTGCTATCTCTACTCCTCAACGAGGCGCTCTGTCCTATCTAGAGGGTCACACGCAGCATGTCAAAGATGTCGTTTTCGACAGCCATGATCACACTGTCGCGTATTCGGCCTCAATAGACCACAGCGTCAAGACCTGGGATCTCACGACTTCGACATTCGTCAACACGCGATCCACGAACCAGGCGCTACTTTCCGTCTGTCACTTGCCAGAGCAGACTGGAATCTTGGCGGGAGGTGCGTTAAACCGGATAGATCTCATCGATCTCAGAGCCAGCGCCAGCAAAGTAGCAGTCCTCTCTTGCCGAGGGCATAAGAATTGGGTCAGGAGTCTTTCGCTCGATCCCGAGAGTCCTTTCCGTTTTGTGTCCGGTTCCGATGATAGCACATGCCGAATTTGGGATTTGCGATCGACAAGTCAAGAAGCTGCCGGCGGGACGGTGGCGAAGCCGGTGTATACGATTGATAGAGAATCGGAGAAGGGGAAGAAGGTGGAACAAGGGTCAGAATCGAGCGTGTATTCCGTGTCGTGGAACAAGGAGATCGGCATTGTGGCGGGAGGCATGGATAAAATGTTGCAAATCAATAGAGCTCCATCATAGACGAGCGAGGGTAATAGCGCGAATGAGAAAGTGCTGCGATGGGCTTTCTTGATCTTTTCACATCTCGTCTTTGACTGCCCACAATGCTTCACTTCCGGTCAACCAACCATGATCTGCGTGATCACCCTGACCAAAACACATCCACACTGTAGTGTGTTTGAGGCAGAGACCCCACAAGCACAAGCGGTGGCTTTGTTGTGGCTCCGTGGCTTTAAGCGACCCCGCGAAGTTGTCCCACGTCCCTCCATCGTCAACTTTTTTTCGGGCGAGTCAACAAACAGCATCTCCGCATCCCAATCGCACAATGGCGTCCGAAACACCTCAGAAAATTGGTCAGTCCTTTTGTGCCTCAATATAAAGCCCATGGCTGACTCTCTTTAGCCATTCTGTCGGTCTACGACAAGACCGGCTTGCTGGATCTCGCCAAAGGTCTTGTCAAGCAGAACATCCGCCTGCTGGCCTCAGGCGGCACCGCAAAGCTGATTCGCGAGGGAGGCTTCCCTGTCGAGTAGGAAAGCACTTGAGCAGCACCTATATCAATATCGCTGACCACTGCGCAGAGATGTCTCAGCAATCACAAAGGCACCTGAGATGCTCTCGGGGAGAGTCAAGACCCTTCACCCAGCGGTGCACGCCGGTATCTTGGCTCGCGATCTTGCCTCGGACGAGAAGGATCTCGCAGAGCAGAACATCAACAAAGTCGATTATGTGATTTGCAACTTGTACCCTTTCAAGGATACTGTGGCAAAGATCAACGTAACCATTCCGGAGGCAGTCGAGGAGATCGATATCGGCGGCGTCACGCTCATCCGAGCAGCTGCAAAGAACCACGGCAGGGTTACCATTCTCAGCGACCCCGCCGACTACCATGACTTCCTCCAGGAGCTCGCGAGCGGAGAGGTGACCGAGAAGTCGCGCCAGCTTTACGCTCTCAAGGCGTTCAACCACACTGCGGACTACGATACCGCCATCTCCGATTTCTTCCGCAAGAAGTACGCCGGAGAAGGTCATCAACAACTCACTCTTCGTTATGGCACGAACCCACACCAGAAGCCTGCGTCTGCATTCACGACAGAGTCACCTTTGCCTTTCAAGGTGCTCTCTGGCTCACCTGGTTACATCAACCTCCTTGATGCACTCAACGCCTGGCCACTTGTCAAGGAGCTCGATGAGGCACTCGGCTACCCTGCAGCTGCTTCTTTCAAGCACGTCTCTCCCGCTGGTGCAGCCATTGGTGTTCCCCTCAGCGATGTAGAGAAGAAGGTCTACATGGTTGAAGACATCGAAGGCCTTGACGCATCTGGGCTCGCACAAGCTTACGCTCGTGCTCGTGGAGCAGACCGTATGTCGAGCTTCGGCGATGTGATTGCCTTGTCACGAGAGGTCGATGTGCCTACAGCCAAGATCATTGGGAAGGAAGTCAGCGACGGCGTTATCGCACCAGGCTACCAACCCGAAGCTCTGGAAATCTTGAGCAAGAAGAAGGGCGGCAAGTACCTTGTTCTCCAGATGGATCGCACATACGTTCCACCACCACACGAGCAGCGCACACTGTATGGCGTGAACCTCACGCAGCACCGCAACGACGCTCTCATTTCGCCGCAGAACACTTTCAACAACATCATTGTGCCTAAAGACTCGAAAGCTCTTCCAGAATCAGCGCTGCGCGACCTCACAGTGGCAACTATTGCATTGAAGTTCACGCAGTCCAACTCGGTCTGCTACGCATTGAATGGCCAGGTTATCGGTCTCGGTGCTGGACAACAATCACGCATCCACTGCACACGTCTAGCCGGTGACAAGGCCGACAACTGGTGGATGCGCTTCCACGAGCGCGTTCTCGCAATCAAGTGGAAGAAGGGCACCAAGCGTGCTGACAAGTCCAATGCCATCGACTTGTTGACCTCAGGCATCGTGCCAGACAGCGGCATCGAGAGGCAAGAATGGGAGAAGAACTTTGAGGAGGTCCCAACTCCATTCACGCTGGAAGAGCGAAAGTCATGGCTGAGCAAGCTTAGCGAAGTCGCTGTCAGCAGTGATGCTTTCTTCCCATTCACAGACAATGTCTTCCGCGTGGCCCGCAGTGGTGTCAAGTACATCGCAGCCCCAACGGGTAGCCAAAACGACCAGGCTTGCTTTGCGACTGCCGAGCAATTGGACATCACCTTTGTCGAGCAGCATGTCAGACTGTTCCACCACTAGAAGGTGTCAGGGATACTGAATAGATGATGAAGGACACGTGGAACTTGAACATGAGTGTTTATAGCAAGACATGCTTTGAGATACCAACTTTGAGTGCATTCGATAGATGAGGTAAACGAAAAGTCGCTCGATAGTCGCATTGAAGTTCACTCGCTGCTGCATTGACTTGTCATTCCGATGACCAAAATACGTTCGAAAACCATTGTGCCTAGAAAGTGCCAGACTTGCCGTATGCGTGACATTTCGACGCTTGATATTGTTCCTGCATTGGCGTTTGTTCACTCGTGCCCCACACTCCCCACCTCACAACCTTCAAAAGCCAAACACCACCCACTTCACTTCCACCACAACAACTCCACTTCTCGCTCAACATCCACAACACACAACCATGGAGAAAGGCAAATACTCCTCCAGCCCCGAATGGGCCGACATAACCCCCCTCCCCACCGACGAAGGCGGCCCCAATCCCCTCGCCGCAATCGCCTACCCCGAAGAATACGGCGAACTAATGTCCTACCTCCGCGCCATCATGGCCGCAACCGAACACTCCCCTCGAGTCCTCACCTTGACCGAAGACCTCATCTCCTTAAACCCAGCCCACTACACAGTCTGGCTCTACCGCGCCAAAACGCTCTTCGTCCTCAACTACGACCTCCGCAAAGAACTCGCCTGGCTCAACGAAACCGCCCTCGCGCATCAGAAAAACTACCAAATCTGGCATCATCGTAACCTCATCGTTGATAAGTTAGACGATGTCACTGGGGAGCAAGATTTTGTAGAACAAATGTTCGAAGCTGATGGGAAGAATTATCATGTTTGGAGTTATAGACAATGGCTCGTGAGGAGGTTTAATCTATGGGAGGGGAAAGGGGAATTGGAGTTCACAGAGAGGATGCTGAGCAAAGATATCAGAAACAACAGTGCGTGGAATCATAGATGGTATGTCATCAATGGACGGGAAACCGAAGGTGTTCAAGGAATCACGGATCCGGAAATCCGAGCGAGGGAAATTCAATTCGCGCAAGAAGCTATTGCGAAGGCGCCGCAGAATCAGAGTCCGTGGAATTATTTGAGGGGGATTGTGAGGAGGAGTGGGATGGAGATTGGGGAGTTGAAGGGTTTTGCGGAAGAGTATGCGGATTTGAACAAGGCGGAGGGAGTGAGGAGCTCGCATGCTTTGGATTTGTTGGCGGATATTTTGGCAGGGGAGAAGGAGGTTGATGGGAAGGTTAAGGCGAAGGAGGCGTTGGATTTGTTGGCGACGAGGTATGATCCAATTCGGAAGAATTATTGGGAGTACAGGAAGAGTCTTTTGGGATTGCCGGAGGCTTCTGCGGCTGGTGTTGCTGCTGCTGCTTGAGGGATGAGATGGACATGCGAGGCAAAGCATTTCGGGAATGTGGGAAAATGGCGCATGAGGAAAAGATACCCCATGGTTTTTCGGGTTTGTAATATGATAAATGCTATTCGTGCTTGTTCTTCGCCTCGGTCATCTCATAAATGTCTATGCAATCTCATCAACTTTCAATGTGAGCATTGAGTGCCTAGTCTGAAGTCGTGATCACTTTCCTGGAGACCTCACGAAAGCTCGAAGGACAATGCGGACCCGCTGCAAGGGGAGTGCAGATGCGACAGCGCATAGAGCGATGGAAAATGAATAGAAGAGATTGAGGGCGAAGGTTCAGGAAGGGCATTGTTCTGATTGCATGAACAAAGCTACCACGTCCCGCTGTACAATATTCTAGCCTCACTCAGATAGAGCCGACTCGCGCAAGATACTGCGCATCTGTATATGTAAAACGAAATATCAAAAGACCCTCAGTACGCTGAAGGTAGATCAGTTACATCCAAAGCTGATCATAATTGTTTTGTCGTGCATGCCGCGAAAGCATTTACAGACGTGCAACGGCATCGTCAAGAGCAGCCTCAAGCTCATCGAGCTGAGCCTCAATGCCCTCCTCGTGCTCGGCGCGCTTGTACTCGCCCTCGAAGTCTTCGACACCACGCTTGTACTGCTCCTCCTCGACGTCACGCTTGATCTCCTGGAAGGCATCACGGGCCTTGATGAGGGCAGCGCACTCACCACCCTCGCTGTGGCAAAGGTCGGAGAGGTACTCTGGGTCCCACTCGTTGATGGCGTTGACAACGTCGGTGACCTGCTCGTCAGCCTCGTCGGAGTAGACTGGGTTGCGCTTAACCATGGCGCAGTTGGAGCCGGCAACACCGCAGAAGCCGAAGCGTGGGCGGGCGACCTGGATCTTCTTGGCATCAGCCTCAGCGTCACGCTTGCAGTTGGAGCCAGCAACACCGCAGAAACCGAATCGTGGGCGGGCGACCTGGATCTTCTTTGGGTCGGCCTCAGCCTCGGCCTCACGGGCGACGATCTCGTCGTAGCTGCGCTCGGCGAGCTCACCGACAGCCTCGAGGGAGCGGCGGGCCTTGTGGCAGTTGGAGCCAGCGACACCACAGAAACCGAATCGTGGGCGGGCGACCTGGATCTTCTTGGC